TTCAACAGAAAAAAGCTAAATTAGAGCTAAAGAGTTCTCCTGGTTCTCCTAGTTGGGGGGGGTGGTCTTAGGATGTAGCTTTAGCTGTGCTAACGACATTGGTTCTCCTGGTTCTCCTGGTTCTCCTGGTTCTCCTGGTTTGGGGGGGTCTTTGGATGTAGCTTTATCTGTGCTAACAGCTGGTTCTGGTTCTCCTGGTTCTGCTGGATCTCCTGGTTTGGGGGGGGGTGGTCTTTGGAGTTAGCTTTAGGTGTGCTAACGGCTGTGGTTCTCCTGGTTCTCCTTCTGTTGGTTGTCCTGGTTCTCCTGGTTTGGGGGGTGCTTTGGATGTAGCTTTAGCTCTTCTAACGGCTGTGGTTCTCCTGGTTCTCCTTCTGTTGGTTGTCCTGGTTCTCCTGGTTTGGGGTTGGGTTCTTTGGATGTAGCTTTAGCTGTGCTAATGGCTGGCTGTGGTTCTCCTGGTTCTCCTGGTTTGGTAGGGGTTAATTGGATGTAGCTTTAGCTGTGCTAACGCCTGTGGTTCTCCCGGTTCTCCCGGTTCTCCGGTTCTCCTGCAGATGCAGGAGGGGGGGCGGTCTTAGGCTCTAGCTTTAGCTGTGCTAACGTCTGGCTGTGGTTCTCCTGGTTCTCCCGGTTCTCCTGGTTCTCCTGGTTCTCCTGGTTTGGGAGGGGCGGGGGGTTGATGTATGTAGCTTTAGCTCTTCTAACGCCTGTGGTTCTCCGGTTCTCCGGTTCTCCGGTTCTCCTGCAGATGCAGGAGGGGGCCGGCCCCCGGCGGGCCCTCAGCGTTCTGGACCGCCTGCTGCTGTCTCATCCCGTCTGGCTGCAGCTGTCACTCAGCCGGGACCACGCCCACCACGTCCTGCTGAGGGAGCCCGCCGGGGTGAGAACCACACACACACTCACACACAGAGATACACACATATACACACACACACACACACACACACACACACACACACACACACACACACATACACACACAGAGATACACACACACACACACAGATACACACATACATACACACACACACATATATACACACACACATACACAAACACACACATATACACAAAACACCCAGAAACACACACAGACAAACCTATTTAACATCCACTATTTTAAGATAGTGGATGTTAAATTACTTTCACATTAAAGTCCAGATTTAGATTTAGATTTAGTTATTTTTATATAGTTTTTATACATTTTTTTCTTTTATTTTTCAGTTTTTAAAAAAAAATCTAATTTACATTACGTGAACTTAACCCTGTAATGCCAAATGTATCATATCTGACACCTTTTGCATAATTTAATGGTAAAAACTTTGCTCAAAATCCTATTGTACACAATCAGATACACCTGATAACAGGGGGCAGAAGACTACAAATAATCTTGACTTATCGCATAGTGATAAATTAAAATTAAAATTAAAAATGCATTTCTGTAAAATTTAAACTTTTTTTTCTTTTTACATATTTTGTTAAAAGGCCAAATAAGGAATTCAAACCCCAAAAAAGTTATTTTCTGTTTTGTTTTATTCTTGGATCAGGCTATAAGGGGTTAAACTAATTTATCTTATTTATTTTTATTTAATTTTTATATTTTATAAATTGTTTTCTAAGACTTTGACGTCATAAATTCTATTTTGGAAATTTAATCCGGCTGTCGAGTCGAATATATAATCAAATTTCACTTTGGATGTTGGAAAATTCGTATGTTTGGGCATCGTAAATAGAGGCTCTGCTATATTTTCCTCTCATACAATAAAATAATCCCTTTTTCTTGATGAAATATTCAGGTTTTGGGGCTCATTGACATGTTAGATTAGCGTTTTTAGATAAAATCTGACAAACTGTGAGGGGGGACATCCCTCAAACCTCAGCTGGAGTATTTCTCCTCTTATCTGGTGATCGGATCATGCTTTTATTTCCCCTGAAAGTCTAAAATCGGGAGTCAGAGGCTGGTTTTCTCTGTATTTTCTGTTGGCAGCTTTCGCCCTGGAGAGTTCGGCCCTCAGCTTCCCGGACTTGTGTCGCCTGGTGGCCTTTTACTGCGTCAGCAGGTGAGATTTTACCTCCCTCAACAGTATACTCAAAAAAGTACTGATACTAAAACGTTGTATCCGGATACGATACTCAGTTTCAAAAGTATCGATACCCCCCCTCCCCCTCCATCTAATTTATTTATTTATTTACATTGTTTATGATCATTAACAAGATATTAGCCTTGGACTGCTAGCTGCGGCTAATGGCTAATAACAACACGCCAACATTAATCAAGTACATATCCAACTCCGCCCACATCCAAATCGGCCATTTTGATTAGGTCACCAAATAGGAAGATCCCAGGCAAGAAAATCCTAATTGCTTCGTGGCAATATAGACATTAATTTAAAAATAGTGAAATTAAACTCAGAATTAAACTCTATCCATAATATTATGTTAAAATAGTGGATGTTAAATAGGTTTGGACAATAAGTCCAAACAAGTTTAACCAAAAAATATTTATTTCTCACAATTATGAAGGGTTAGGGTTAGGGTTAGGGTCAGGGATAGGGTCAGGGTTAGGGTTAGGGTCAGGGTTAGGGTTAGGGTTAGGTTTAGGAAAGAGTGCAGGGGTCGTGCTGTCGCACTTTCCATCCGGATCCTGTGGCACCTTCAAAATAAAAGTGTGGAATTTAAAGATCCTATCGTTTTTAAGAGCCAGTAAAAAAAAGGAAGAAGGGGGGCGAGAACTCCTCCTCTCAGGTGAGAGGCCATCTGGAGTAGAAAGGTTTCAAAGGAAATTAAAAACCAGATTAAAACAAAGCTGTTGTGTGTTTTTGTTTTTTTCCGGTGGTCTGCAGAGACGTGCTGCCGTTCCCCCTGCAGCTGCCGGACGCCATCGCCATGGCAACCACGCACGGCCAACTGGAGGCCATCGCCCACCTGGGACAGGGTCAGTCATCTATCTATCTATCTATCTATCTATCTATCTATCTATCTATCTATCTATCTATCTATCTATCTATCTATCTATCTATCTATCTATCTATCTATCTATCTATCTATCTATCTATCTATCTATCTATCTATCTATCTATCTATCTATCTATCTATCTATC